TTGGCCTGTGATAAGTATGACGGTGTTCTAACATCTGGCGGAGGGCTAAGATATGATCAATACATCCTCAACCGGAACGAAGACCAGTCTGCTCTTCGCGAGTCAATCTTTCTCGAGTTTTGAACAACCTACGAATTATGACGGAAGCCAATAGCCTGGACGCAATCGGAAGTAGACTTATCCCCCGATAGTTGTTACAGGAACGGCGTGAACCCTTTTTAAAGATAGGGACAACTATCGACTCATTCCGTTATGTTGGGACACTCTTTAGTTCCCAGACCTTTGTAAACAACGTAGTCAGTTCCTTAACCGGAAAGTCACCAACAGCCTTAAAATGGGCCGGAACTGAGTCATCTGGGTCTGGCTATTTGTAGCGCTCCAAGAGTTGTAGTTGATTGCGTACTTCCATCCCGTTGGGTGGATTAGTCGTCGCAGGTCATGGAGGATGGGACAGTCTTATCGACATTGCCGGGGCAACAGACCAGTTGAACAGCTCTTCGAAGAATTCTGCCCATCGCCCAAGACATTGATGGAGGTTAGCGACTAGCATGCCGTTATCCTCACAGATTGTTTCACTCACACCAGACTTCTTGCTGCCAGTGGCTTGGATAAGTTGGAAGAGCTTCCTGTAGTTACTAGATGCGGCTGCTGCTTCCATCATAGACGAGCCGCTGTGTAAATCGAAAAATAAGGGCACAAACAAAATAAGAATAAAAGGGAGTAGAAAGGTGACGCGATATAAAAAAATAAAAACTGATGTTAAAAGTGACTGTGAATGATATCTGTCTGCATGCCGATTGAAGCAAGATTAATTTTACCTGTAGTAGTCATTATTTGATTTGCGCATGGGCTGCGATATTCCCTGAGTGTCCAAATCAAGGCATATGGTTTTCTTGGGAAGTCAGACCCGAAGCCTTTGATCTAAAGATTTAATCCACAAGTGTGTGGAGCAACTTTAGGATATGCAATCTCATGGAAGCCTGTAACCAGCGATAGATTCATACGCCACTTAATACTTCTGTACTCTGGAGCCCACATTCACCGTTCGTTTGAAGGAAGGCTTTTCCAACTTGACAAGGCGTATCCTTGATGCGCACTAGACCAATGAATGTTCAGGATAATTTTCAAGAGGGGAAAATGATTCTCTCTACCCTTGACCATTCCAAGGCCTTTGGGACCCCCAAATGCAGTCGCGTAAATAATGAAAAATTCGTGATAGGCAAATCTAACACGATCTTTTTAATTTCTTTTCAATGTCAGAGCGACTATCGAATGAAACTGATTTCTTAACGTGTGAGTATCTTACGTGTTTAACAGGGACCTTACAGCTCCACATGTTCCAGATGTTTGATGAGACCATGACGACTACTTTAACGTCTTTTATATTTCAGCATGACAGGAGTTAAATTCACGTCTAATATACTCATAAAGTTTTGCCAGACACCTTTGTGCCCTAAATAAAAGACAACAAATATTTTTTCTGGGGTTACGTCTTAAGCGAATCGGTTTCATTGGATGAGGATGCTGAATTCCCATTATTAATCGATATGAAACCACTTCTCGCAATTTTTCACTCCAAATGACTACACGTTTGTCATGTTTCGCAGAGGAAATACAGGTATCAAAAGTTTATCCTAGAGTCTACACGATGCTTTATTTATTGTCCACTGGCTATGAATAACAGGGAAAAATTTTATGGAGAATCAACTACTCACATTCGTCAATATTTGCCACCAGAATTTGTTGTATAGAAGTTCACTGTCAGATCCCTCTATCCTCAAGATCCTAATCGGAGAGTGAATAGTAGTAATAATTTTCTCCCTAAAACGAATATTCATGTAAACATCTGACATGAATACTAATTTTGTTAATTCTAATGTGAACTACCAGCCGAAGACACTCAGTCGGGCACTAGCAACCCATCATGGAATGATGTGAACAGAAACGCTTCTCTTCTGTTACAGGGGAGCCTCTGCAGACAGCCTAATAAACTTCTCGCTTCAACCCCAATCACATGCATTTTTGTGATTACTCAGGTCAGGTTTTATAATGGTGCTTAAAAGGCATTATTGTTTTGTCGTATTTTATACAGTATGTCTTGATTCTTAAGGTCATTGCACCTAAAAACCTGTAGCATTGGACCCCAACCACATAATCCTCAATGATGAACACGAGACTCTCGAGAAAACAGATATTCAACATTTAACGCGGCGAAAAACCCAACGACAGAGAAGGCGGGAACAATAAGTGGAAAAAATTCGAATTGATCGGACGGCTTGGCTCGACCTTGCAGGAGTGGTCACTCTTAATTGTTGTAATGTAATCTTTCATTCATACTAAATATATTGTTCTATCTCTGGCCAAAGTTTGTTCTCCATCATATATTGGTGATTGGTACGATGCGATCAGTTGGTGTAAATAATAATGTGACTTTCACGTAAGATCTTATAGATTAGGCAGTTACATCATAACAAATCTGCAATTTTAGAACTAAGTCTATTATTAGAGCGGTACTAATATCGAAGTAGACCATAATTCTACACACCTTTCCATTAATGAAACCCTTGAATCTTTATGATCACCCCTACAGGAAGGTTGTGTACCAAATATCAGAAGGCGACTTAAGGTTGCTGGTGATCTCGTGGTATCGAAAGAATGCCGAGATCGTATCAAAGGAGTACAAGCGGATTTACTGTGCGAACGTAAGTTTGCGCAAGGTCACAACCAACGGGATGAAGAATGAAAGAATAATGGATGTCTTTGGTACAGTTAAACAAACAGGCACAGTAAAACAATCACTGGTACAATGGGTTATAATAATAATTGTTTCCATTAAACCATTCGCGTTCTCTTGATAAATGTAGGTCACTACAACCTCATACCATGTCACACCTATATTTTGTCTTTAGAACTTTGTTGGCATCGAACTGTTCCTCGACTGATTCTGACTGTTATCATGTCTCCTTCCGTTTAAATTCCAATTTTGTAATATTTAGAATAAAATATAATAACATACATTCACAGACAACAGTATGTTACATGAGGTGTGACTGCCTAAAGGCTAGAGCAAATTGTTACAAATGCCACATATTTTACTTTATTAGATTGCTCTTTTGGGTTGATATGTTATAGAGCATATTGGTTATGTAAACAGAGGATGAAGTTTCATACAATAGGATATTAGTGCTAGCAAGACCATAATGTTCAATGTGAGAGTTCGTGAGCTTTGTGGAGATTGCGCGACGACAAGCATTTGTTGGTCGGCAATTACTAGAATAAAAGTTAACTTAAGTCCCTTATCCTGTGCTCCGTCATAGTGATCCCAGATAAATTCCGGAGGTATTAGTAATGACTCAGGGTGAAGTCATAAGTCTCACAAGTGTTTTCGTTGGTATACCACGAGCGTGCCGAAAAAAGAGATGGAATAAAGGAAGAGAGAGAAGCGGGACGGATAATGGTCATGACTAGTGAAACTTAGTCATTTGTGATGAAATAACTGAGGTACGACTGCTTAAACTCATTTTCTTTTATTTGGTCAATTTTTAAGCCAAAGTACGGCGTTTAATGGACGAAGGATTGTACAAATGGAAGTTATTAAAAAGAGCTGAAAGTTTATCATTATAAATCTTTTTAAAATTTAGTAAGAGAAACACACTATTCGTATATCAACTGGCGTTTTTTCGCCAGTGTAATTGTAACTCGTTTTTATTATTATAACTTGGTAGAGTCAAAATTGGACTCCCACTTAGCGTAATTGTTCAGTCTTGCTTGCAATAGAATTTCTCGGTAGGATGAAAAACCATTTGAACGTTACTGACGTCAGTCAAGGATGTATATTTGCCATAATAAGCTAGAACCAATACCACTTGTTCGTGATATTCTACTAGGCCATAAGGAAGTGCAATTTGTCAAGATGTCCTGTCCTACATGCATGAGTGGGCTGAAGTTATTTCTTTACCATCATGTTTACTGGTTAGTAACGCCACCCTTTCACATTTTGTGATGTTAGGCTCTTTTACGTTTGTGGTATGTATGCATACTGCCTTAATCTTAGCTCTATATTCCATACCTTATTGGAATACCCTCTCTACTAGTTCCGTGTTACAAGCATGTCAGACAGCCAAAGCTTCTGTATTGTGGGTTAGACATGCAGTTACTATATCACACTGCTGTTAAGTTAATCAATGGTGTAAGATACTGGTCAGATGATATGTTGTTAACAGGTGATGAGGACAGATATCTGATCAAAGAATACGGAAGAAGTGTTTTGGGTTACGAAATTTAAGAGTAAGACGTTAAGTAAGTAAAAAACACAATATGTGAATGTTAGTGATAAATTTTTTTTACACTAGTAGAATATGAACTAGAATGAACTCATTACAATTCAGGATACTTTAAGCTTCTTATGATCGGCTACAGTTGAACAGCACTCGTGTGGTTAGTGAGTCATCTGCCTACGAACTGAATAGTTAGTTCCAGGAATTATGTTAATTGCAGCATCCAAATTCAAATTAATTTATATGATCTGAAATTTGAAGCATAATTATTCATACTATGTGATTAAATATGTTTTGTAAGTGTACACCTGTGGTCCTGTTCGATAGTCGAAACAGATAAGCAATTATAGGTATATAATCATATACGCTCTGAATTTGTCGTCGTACTGCAAAAAATACACCGTGTATACGTAAAAGTTTCTGAAAGGACTTATCTTCCATAATTCTATCAGAAAAAATCCTTTCTGCTCTGGGTCGACCATTGTTATAAGTGAAAATAGTTCTTATGGACAGACCCGTAACCTCACAGTAGCATCAAGAAGCGAGGAGAACTAAGACTACTGGTTTATAATGGCTTAGAGCGATAGTATTGGGTGTGTATCACGAAAGTGAACTCATAACATTGACACAAAACATGTTTACGACAGCACGAACCGAAGGAGAGATAAGATGATCTATTTGAGATTAGTAATTTCCTCTAATCCGAAAACACTGGTCACATAACGAGGTTGTTTTAGTGTTTCGCTGCGGGTCGTTCTTCCAGGCCTAATTCGCCGCCAAACTCGAATAGTCCTGCAAATTCCGAAGTCTGTTGCACAATATAGTAGGCACTAGAGGGTAGATGGTAGTTCATATTATTGCTAGCGGAAAGAGATTTAGATACCTTTTAATTTAGAAATATTATGAAAGGCTACTCGACACTTGAGTATCGTAGCTGATATCTCATTAATATCAGCTACTGTCTAAATCGCTACTAACAGCGATTTCCGCTTTCACTTTCAATATCGGGTCAGTAAGACGATGAGTACCCTGTATTATCTCTGGCGATAAACGTCTTTCAGTTGATTCAACTCTCCCTTCAACGCCTCAGAAGGCTGAGCATCACATGTCGAGGTCAGGAGTTCTATCTCAACCAGTGCTGGTTGGTAATTCGACGGGGCATCTGACATGCAGCTGATAAGTTATTGGTTCTTGCCTTGTGAACTTTGTTGAGGCTTCTTAGATTCTATGTTTTTTTAAGACGCTAAAAATTGGGCTGTATCATACACAAGGTCGATAAATATTTTCAGCATGGCATTGTGGAGATTGTTCAATTCCATCAAAATAATGTACCTATTGACATCAGACTGCTGTTAAGAGCCTGAGAGGGCTATATGGCCGTTTTATTCTAGTATGGGAATCCTAAGCAATGTGCATCTACTATTCCGCACGCGGGACTCATGCCCAGAGCCTTCTGTTTCTCAATACCGTGGATAGGTTGAAGCTAGACATTAACGCTGTTGGACGCCGTTCCAGTAGTCTAGAAGTTAGGCGTTTGCGCGAAGCTGATGGTAAGTTCATCTATGTAACTCCAAGAAACAGTTAGAAGTATGACCTAATTATCATACAAATTCCAACCGAAAAGCCTGTGCTTCCCACAAAGCAACATATAGCATCTCATTTTTTATCGAACGCTTACCATCAGTCGTAGAGTTACTTCCTAATGTGTTCACTAAATTCCAGTCTATAGTTACTTTCTTATATGCTTTATTTCACAGGTTTTTCGAATCATTTGAAAATTGGCTATATTCAGTTACTAGCCCGTGCATCTACAAAGTAATTTTACTGCATTGGAAATGGTATGTTCAACATTTTATGTTTGTTTTTAACTGATTATAGGTTGACCTAAGTGAAAAGGATCTTAATGGTATGTTTTTATATCGTAGTTTAGAGTCTGTAAATAGATGTTCACGAAATGTTCCTACTGTTTGACACAAAAGGAGATGAAAAAATCGAGGCGAAAGATATTGGCGAAGTTGTGCGTGCAATGGGTCTAAATCCAACAGAATCGGACATTGGAAAATATGGCTATCAAAATAATCCAAGTGAGTTTTTACGAATATAATATACAGCAATTTGATATAACGTGATCTGGTTTTGAAAATGACAGGAAACAATATTCTCTTAATTTATATTATCGAGTGTATTGACCAAATTCTTGGTTTCAGTTCTCTAATAAGTTATTTAATTGTGTGATTTCTAAAGTGCACTGAAGATTAAATTGGTAATATTTGTCGAGATAAGTTTATCTTGAAATATTTCACTTGAGACTAATTATTTACTTTTTTAAAGAATGGATATCGAATGTTACACAGTAACCAAAAATACAAGATTACCCACTGGAGTTTCACTTACTCGTTTTATGTGTAGGCTAAGCTTGTCATGTGACTGTTGTCTGAAGTGTTTAAACTTGTATTCCAAGAATTGGTAATCAGGTTTCTCAAGCATCGAAATTTATCTCTCCATAATAAGCATTTTAGTTCTTGCTGACCTTAATCATTGAAACCATTTGTTAGCACATTCTTTTTCTCTATATAACTAACACCAACATTCTGGATATATATATATATATATATATATATATATATATATATATATGACCAATTCAGATCGAGATATGCAGACAGTGACCTTGGTTGGGTGGATATTTTGTCTTCCCACATTTCTATTTCTCACTTCAGTGTGGCATGTAAGTAGCATATGATCTTTTTGGAATCACTGATTATATCAAAATACTATCGATGGATATAATATTTTATTCCATGACGTTCTACAAGTAGGAATAACTTCATTTCTGTTGTGCTGCTGCGATCTTAGTACGTATTGGTTTAGTCCGCTAAAGAATGACTTGTAAATCCCAAATAGATAGTTTAAAAAGTATGCACTAAAAGTGTTAGAGAAAGTAGTTATTTCATAATATTCATCTTACCAAAATAATTATAGTAAGTCAATTGAAGGATATGTAATTCTCTTCGTTGATTAAAGTGTTTCCTTTATCAAAACGCTCACCAATCAATAGTTTCATTATATATTCCTATAATCAAAGTTCATTGTCTATTCTCTTTTGATTCCTGCCCATTGTTATTTAATAAAGACAGGACAATACTTTTGATACATAAGCTGGTAGTAAAAAATTTGTTTTAATTTAGACGGTAAGTACATGCTTAAATACTATCAGACGTACATTTAAATTGAAAATGTTGTCTTAGATTGGTTGATTAAATGATTAAAGCGCTCAGCTTCTAACCACTGTATTACTTATTGAAACATTGTTCCTCAAACTTGTCTGTGAGGCTATAAATTTTCATCGACCGGGGTGGTTTGGGCATTTGCTGCGAATCCATAGCCATCACTTACCTCGACGTCCAATGATAACGAGTAGGAGTAGGTTGGAATAAAGTTAGGGGTGCCCAGATCCTAAGACATAATATCAGTCCGTGAAGCTATTGGCTGTTGTAGTGAAACATGCTAGTAGATGCAGAATACATTGTTGGGGTCCCCTCAATTTTCGTAACCGATGGCTAGAGACATTGAGTGACGCCCAGAATCTGTCGCACCGATGCAGTTGCATCCACTCTCTATCTTCCTCCAGGTCTTGGGTTTCAAAGTTATCTTGTACTTCATATTATACTTATTCATTCTTTATCAATCATACTGTTTTATTTTTATTTTATTTATTTTAACACATAGACATTGGTACAGAGAGGCACCAAATACATATGCGCCACACAAATCCCATTCGATATGTTTGAGGGCTGTGATACTGCCCGGGTGCCCAAACCGAAGCAGGTGGTTTTCTTAGGGGGCCACTTCCCGAGCCTTCGACTTGAAGTTCTGATCCACAAGGCAGTGGAGCATCGTAAGGAGATGCAGTCCCATGGAAGCCGGTGACCAACAATTGGTTCATACGCCATTTGTTCCTTCAGGATACTGGAGCCCATGTGCACCATTGATTTGGAAGCCGGTTAAAGCTCCGGACATCCGTTTTTCGTTCTCTCATTTTCGTAAACAACACCTCCGCCACAAGAATGCAGTGAGTAGGACTTCCCTTTCAGAGGCTATATACGCGTGGCCAATCATACTGTCTACTACTTCGGTATTTATCTTTGCAGCTTCATCTCGTTGTCAGGTTGACTGGTTGATTTCATTCTGTGTTAATATGATGTGGAAACTTGAACGAATACACATGTGTCAGATTATTTATGAAAGATTAGTTGTGAATGCATTGAATACTTCTTTCTATCTTGTTCCACCTTTTCCCCTAACAGACGAACGTATCAGTTTCGAATCATTCGTTCCAATTTATCATGGTTTATTAAAAGAACAAGTGGAAGTGGATCAAGAAACGTTTATTGAGTCGTTTCGTGTATTTGATAAAGAAGATAATGGATTAATTAGTGCAGCTGAATTAAGACATCTACTAACAGCACTAGGTGAAAAACTACGAGATGATGAAGTGGATGTATTATTATCTGGTTTAGAAAATAGTCAAGGTCTTGTACCATATGAAGGTAAATGGTTTTTTATAAAAAAGATACAAGATTATTATACTAGTCTCGTGTATTACCTTTTCTGGTACCCAATTGTTTGCACTTGTTTTCGATCTAAAAATGCATAGATGAGAGATACTATTATTGAGTGAACTCAACTTGGTGGTGCTGACGATGAGTCGGGACAATTGTCTGTTGTTATATATCACTGCCTTATTTACCGATGACTACTCAGGATTGTTGTGTAAATGTTTTCTTAAACCTGGCTTAAGTTGTTACTATTCATCGTTCTTTCGACCTTACCGGGATAAATTTTCGAGCAGCTGGAGTCTCTAAAATCCAATGGTTTTTCCTAGTATTTTGGTTTCAGGTGCGGATGCATGGTCAGACTAAAAAGCGTTACTTGAAAAGAAACAACAGTCCTGTACCCACCAGTACCCCACTGTTGCTAGAGGCGGTCAAAAAACTGTGTATTTTGTCAGCATCTTTGTTAAAGAGAACTATACCATCTGCATATTCTAGGTCAACAAGTGAATCACTAACTCTGCACATAAATAATGTGACTCGTGGTTGAATAAACAGAACTGTGTATGGTATAGATGGGTTACAAAAACCAGCCCACTGAACGAGTTCTAGTACTATCGCATATACCAAAATTTGAACAACTACATAAGATAATTAAATGGTCAAATAACTTACTATGTAAACTCATGATTTATGGTTACTAGTAGTTAACTATTATTTCGACGAAACTTTCAGAATATGAGTGTACTGACATGGAGCTGTATTTTAATCAATAATTGATACATATTGCATTTTCATCTATTAAATACACTCTTCGCTCAGTGTATTAGTGGAATAAGTTTAGATTTATTTTCTAAACATGACACCATATTACGTTACTTGACTGAATCTACTTAGTAATTGAAACTTGATTTCTAAGCTCTTCCCGTCTTATTATCATTCGTTTTCCCCCCTTGATGATTGGCTAAAACTGGTTAAATTCTTAAGGTCATCCAACTATGTGATAGCTTTACCTATATATCTCATTGAAGGTACGTAAAACAATATATATATCCTTTTTTATCTTTATTTTCTTTCAACAGCTTTTGTACAACGTGTTATGAGTTAAGAACAACCTTCATTCTGAACCCGTAAATCATTAAAGTACCCTATTAAACAGGTTGATTTTTGATAAGTTGCGAAATAAATTATCATCTTTTTTCATTATTTTACAACGTCAAGCAAGTTCTATAAACGAGCTTATTTATTTGTTATATATATATATATATATATACTTTGTTTTGTAACACGACCAGGACTTTGTATTTGAAGTGAAAGAGAAAAATATTTGTTTGAACCGCACAACTTTTTGATGTATGTTTCACCTTCCCACTCTCCAGTACAGTAAAACAATGTGAAGTTTTCAATTTAATATGTGCACTTTCCAAACGAAGGATTTTTTCCTGAACCATTAAGAAATTTCCAGGAATCAATCATAGACATTCCTGGATTTCTAGTAAGAATTCGTGACCACCGAAATTCAACCATGTCGGATGTGAGACAGTTATCTACTTCAGGCATTAAAAAATGGCGGCTTATCATCCTGGATTGATTGGGGTTAGACATGTACACTGTTGGGTCCTGAATCTGTTCTGGGGGTTGAGCGTTCGCATGCGAGACTGAAGGTCCTGATTTCTATTCCCTTTGACGAGGTCATAGATGTGCACTACTGAGAAGTCCTATATTAAGACGAAACAGCTGTCTAGCACCTGATTTTCAATTTTATTCTAGCTTAGGCCAGTTCGTGGTGTAAATTATGTACATCTTTAAAAGGTCAAATCTATTGTTGTCGCTGAAATTCGGTGAACTAGTTGAAATTTACTCATTATGAATCTAATTTATTCCCCGTAAACAGAACCGCTTCTGGATAACCACGTCACACTTTGTTTGTGTCATTAGTCAATATTGTTGTGTGCAGTACTTCCTTTCGAACTGTTGACTTTGGTGATCTAGTCGCGATTTCTCTGAAATGTTTTAAATCCTATTTAATGTCATTCATTGCTGTTGTAACTTGGGATGGATTATTTATTCTATTTAACCAAACAAGAAATATTGTTATCTGACCAAAAGGTAAATTTGGATACATTAAACTAAACAGTATTCGAGATAGATAAATTAGTCACTTAATACATATATGGGACTTACGAAATCAATACACTAAGCGCTTTTTCTAAATCATGAAATACAACTAAATTGCTGAGTGGCGTATTTCGCTTATTTGCTACATAATTTTATCGTTTTTTGTGTAAACATTTGTTTCCTTGCGAAAATTATACTCGTACGAGGTAGATCACTTGATTGATGGATAAAGTACTGTAGTAATAGTTAAACTATGCTAAACTGATAATGTATTAACGGTACTAATATGGTTCTGAAACCCCTACTAATCAATAGTTTTCGTAAGACACTTAACCAACTCCCAGATGAATAATTATACATTCAACAATTACAGCTATTATTTGTGTTTGTAAAAACTCGAATCAAAATAAGGTATGATGAAAAGAACAGTTACAATAGCAGTGAATAATTATTCACTATCAAGTGTTCGATGTGTAAATGATAGTCTTTTGTCGGTTATGTTGATCCATGGTTGCTCAGCATATAAATGAAGCAGCAAGTACTTAGAGATTGAAGTAGTCTGTTTTCAACCAGTAATTCCCAGGCATGTTATCTGTAATCTTCATTTAATTAACTTATTACTCGTAACGAAATATATATAAACCCGAGTATGCTACAGATTTTTTATCACATGTGTCGTGAAACGATTGAGTAAGTAGTGTTGAGGTTGGTCATAAGGTAGGTGCTAGGCAAACCGGTTGGTGAGTTAGTAAATCTTTAATAATCGAGGTGGTTGGGACATGTCTCAAGTACACATAACCATCGCATACTTCAACAAACGATGTTTGCCGGCGTTTTTATTTTATTTCAACACATAAATATTGGTACAAGGGGGCACCAAATATATATTCGCCACACAATAACAATGAGAATGGGAAGAGAAAAAAAGGAAGGTAAGGAGCGTAAAAGAAAAAAAGAGCAATAACAACCAGATTAGTGTAATAATGGGGGAGACGGAAAGGTACAATCAGAAGAAATCTTTCAGTTAAGGAAGATACAATCACTTTTTATGAAGAAAGTAAAAGAAGGTTACAGCAGGATCGCCACTGGCTTCTATTCTGAACCATATCTGATAACGTCTCTAGTCACTGTGTTGCACCATCTCTCGGACCCCAGCCAGGGAGTCGTGAAGGGCCAACAGACGCCAGCTCCTTGTGACTTTTTTTTATACCTCGACACCACGTCATACACTGACCACCTCTGCGCTTTTCCCAACCAGTCCCATCGTCGGCAAATAATGCACGACGTGGAATTCGCTGGAACGACATTCGTAGAACATGTCCAAGCCACCGAAGTCAATGTTTCAAGATGGTGACACCAATTGGATTATCTTCTCGGTGCCCGAACACACGATGCTGAACCTCTGCATTACTGACATGGTGTTTCCACTAGATGTCAGCAATCCTTCGGAGACAACGGTGATCAAACACAGAGAGTCGTCTAACATCCTGAACTCGGAGAGGCCAGGTTTCACAAGCATAGAGCAAAACTGCTCTCACCAACGCGCTGTGGATCCGGCCTTTTACATCCAGACTGACATCACGAAGACGCCAAAAATGGCCCAGATTGGCATAAGCCGCTCTAGCTTTCACTATACGTGTATTGATCTCATCACTCACGCCACCACCAGCGCTTATGCAGCTACCCAGATACACGAACTTCTCGACTACTTCTATCTGCTCACCATCCAGGGTGAGTGCAGGATTCGGACCCTGCCTGTCTTGTAGAAGTACTTTGCACTTCGATGGTGCGAAGCACATACCATACCTACGGACACTGATTACCAACTAATTAAGTGCGGATTGCATGGCCTGGGTATTATCACACAGTAAAACAATATCCGCATACTCAAGGTCGAGAAGTCTTTCTCCAGTCAACAGATCCACACCGCCATTACTTACATCCATCAGAGTAGTTTCCACAATGTCATCGATGGCAAGGTTAAAGAGGAATAGTGAGATTGGGCAACCCTGCCTAACCCCACTGCTTGAATGGAACAATGGAGAGAGGTGGTTGTATGCCCTCACTTTACCTGAGGTGTTTGTATATAGGGCCTTTAGGATGTTAATAAACTTCTCAGGCACACCCTTTTTCAACAGACAGTCATAGAGAACAGTCCTGTCCAACGAATTGAAGACAGCCCTGATGTCAAGAAACATTATGATTGTTGGCCTGTGATAAGTATGACGGTGTTCTAACATCTGGCGGAGGGCTAAGATATGATCAATACATCCTCAACCGGAACGAAGACCAGTCTGCTCTTCGCGAGTCAATCTTTCTCGAGTTTTGAACAACCTACGAATTATGACGGAAGCCAATAGCCTGGACGCAATCGGAAGTAGACTTATCCCCCGATAGTTGTTACAGGAACGGCGTGAACCCTTTTTAAAGATAGGGACAACTATCGACTCATTCCGTTATGTTGGGACACTCTTTAGTTCCCAGACCTTTGTAAACAACGTAGTCAGTTCCTTAACCGGAAAGTCACCAACAGCCTTAAAATGGGCCGGAACTGAGTCATCTGGGTCTGGCTATTTGTAGCGCTCCAAGAGTTGTAGTTGATTGCGTACTTCCATCCCGTTGGGTGGATTAGTCGTCGCAGGTCATGGAGGATGGGACAGTCTTATCGACATTGCCGGGGCAACAGACCAGTTGAACAGCTCTTCGAAGAATTCTGCCCATCGCCCAAGACATTGATGGAGGTTAGCGACTAGCATGCCGTTATCCTCACAGATTGTTTCACTCACACCAGACTTCTTGCTGCCAGTGGCTTGGATAAGTTGGAAGAGCTTCCTGTAGTTACCAGATGCAGCTGCTGCTTCAAACTCACTATCACGCTCTGACCACCAGGCTTCTCGGTACTTCGCAAACTTTGCTCTATTTCATTACGTAACAGCCTTCGTTTGTGGTCAAACTCACGGTCACCCGGGGTAGACCGACGGGCTTCGATGAGTTGTAAGGAACCAGAAGAAACCCAGTGCTTATAAGCGGGAGGTTTCACAAAGCCGCAAGCGTTTTACTCACCTTTTTCATGACGTCATGCAATTGCAACCAATGCTCATCTATACTTTTCGGTGTTATTGTACCTAGCCTAGGAACTAGCTCGATTCGATACTTACTAGCAACAGAAGTTGCAGTCAGCTTGCTAACATCAATCCTTTGGTGGCGGCCACTTCGTTGGCCACTGAAAAGTAAGGTAAGATTGGCGCAAACCAATTCATTATTTGAGTCCTGATAGGTACTCCAAAAGGAGCGCGAGTCTTGTACACAACCACGCCAGCAGTAGCTGATTGCGATGTGGTCAATTTGAGTCCAGGCTTGAGATGCAGAGGGAGAACGCCAGGTGGCACATCGGCGATGACTGTACCGGGAGTTAGTGCTAGCCAGAAACAGGTTGTGGTCTGTGCACAGTTGCAGTAGACGGTCCCCGTGATCTGTCCTGCGACCAAAAAGTCCCCATCGGCCACCTAGACGACTCTTCTGTGCCTAGACGCCCGACCTGAGCATTCAAGTCTCTGGCTAGTACTACAATATCTGTCGAACGCACTTTCTAGAGAAGAACAGATAACTGGTGGTAGAATTCATCCTTGATTGCATCCGGGCTGCAATCTGTCGGCATAGGCGGAGATGACGAAAAGACATCGTTTCTCACGCCGATTTCTTCTCACTTTGATGGAACTTTCTAATCTAACAGCACATAACCGATTGTTAATGGGGATCCAATCGATTAGTGCTGCCTCAGCTCTAGCACTTAGTGCGACACCAACGCCAGCAAGACCAGACGAAGATGCCACAGGGTCTCTGGATAAGCGCACGTGAAACAAGCTTTTCGAAGCGACAGATGGAGAGCGAATTTGTAGTACTTCACCAGAGTCTTGAATACGGGTCTCGGATAGACAGCAAACATCGATATTAAGACTTTATAAAGACAAAGTCAGCACTATCTGTTGTCCAACCTGCATAAGTGTGCAAACGTTGAAGGCAGCCAGTTTGTATGGTGCACGTGTGGTTTCAGAAAAACTGCTTCAGTATTCGTATTTGTGGGTAGCATACAATTTTCAACCAGGCAGTGACTCGAGTACGTTTAAATAGAACCGAGTTTCCACCATAGGCGAGCTGCTGTATAATTCGAAAAATAAGGATACACAGAGTTGTAATAAAAGAGAGTGAACAAGTGACGTGATAATTAATAATAATTACAATGTGAATTGTTTGACTGTTACTCGAAACTTGAATAGGATTTTCAATAATTATCGTCATTTTCATTTTAT